GGAGGCCCTAGAATGAACGGAAATGGAGGCTTAGGTAGGGAAACACTTGTGTGTCCAGTACAATTTATGGATCAGGAAAATGTTGATATGTGACACTAAAATAAGTCCAAATATTATGCCACCATAGCCAAATAATTGATAAGAGCTCAAGAGAGGAGTTTCAAGATGCTGGCAGAGTAGGTTAATCTTTCTTGTACTTCCTCCCTGAACCAAACTAGAAATAAAACTAAACTGGGCAACATTCACCCTGAATTTCCAAATGAAGACTAAAAAGAAGACTTTTGAACAAGGATGGGCAGAAACCACCTGGAGACTGCCAGGAAAGGCAGAGTCATACCGGGGCTGCCCTGCTCCTACAGGTGGCAGGTCAAGGGTACAGAGGTATATCTCCCTGTGGTGGAGGAGGTTGGAGTTGTGGGGGTCGGGGAGGAGTTGAGGGGAGAGGGTGTATGGTGGGGGAAGGAGAGTGGGATGGTTGAGGGCTTTGAAGAGTAGAGTTGGGGGTTTCCCCCTGAGAAGAATGAGGCCTGAACCCCAGGATCTGATCCCCATCCTGGAGCACCAGAGGTGGGAACAGCCACTCACATAGCATCCAGAGGTGAAATGCTACCATGGGGCCTCCATTGGCCAGGGAAATACAGAGCCTGCCAGTCAACACCACTTTTTATTTTAAAGGACCAGACACAGGATTTTCTTTTGCAGCCACTCACTCTGGGCTTCAGTGGAGGGAGGGCAGGGTGGACCAGAGTCACCTGAGGAGAGTCTGGGGTGAGGATCATTGAGGACAGAAATGGGAGAGCAGCTGCCAAAATACCTATGCTCGGTCTCTCACACCCAATAACACAACAGCCATTTATCCTGAGAGGCACAGGCCCCTCCCAACAGCAGACTGGAAAAAAGCAACTACCCTGCCCTCTGGGGTATAGCTCATTCCACCCTCTGGAATCCTGCTGGCCCCACCCTGAATATTGGCCCTTGCTGAGGAGTCAGCAGCAGCGGCCAGGCCTATGGGTCTGGGCAGTCTCAAGGGACATTAGTGACTGGCTTTGGGGAGGGGCCATTCCCCCTACTTTCCCAGGAATCTGACTGGTGCTTCCCCATCACAGGAGAGCTGATAGAAACTCCTGGCTTCAGGCAGACCCCACTGATGTGCCCATTTAACAGATGATAAAACTGGGACTTTAGTGTATCAGTCAGCATAGTCTATAAAACAGAAACATCTCTAGAGAGTTCAAGCAAACCAAGTTTCAATACACAAATTACGAGTTTACAAAATGATAGGAAGGCCTAGGGCATGGAGATAGAAAGCTACTTTCTCCATTACAACAGAAAAAGGAGAAATTACTGACAAATGGAATTGGGCTTTGTTTTGGCGTGAGTGGGTATACTAGTAGGTATGTAGATCTGATGTACAAAAGATGAAAACATTTCTGTCCAATGGCTTCTTTTGGTCAAAAAAAAGAGGTAGCTGAGAAGACTTAGCAAAGTAAGGGATGGACTTTTACCAAGTTACATGTCTGGTTATCAGTTTCATAGTCTAAAGTAGAGATAAAAGGCCCTTGTAATATTGCTTTGTGAAACTTCCACCCATCATGCCACACATACAGTCCCAGCCCTGATCCAAAGTTCATCAGAGAATGAATTTCAGTCTCATGAAGTTCCTTTCCTTTCAGCACCTCCTTCCCTTCACTTCCTTTCCCTTCCTCTAACCCAGACTGCCTCCAGCTCCCAGCCCTGACCTCCTGAGAGAAACGTCTCCAACCAGACCTACCACAGATCATGAGAGACCCAGCCTCACAGCAGAGGCAAAGGTAAGTCTGGAGCCCCTGCCTATGGAGGGTGTCAGTCTCAAAGTTGGAGTAAGAGGCAGTTTGAAGAAAGGAGCAAGTTAGTGTTCTGTGAAAGGTTCTAATGCAGAGTGGAGGTGTGGATGGAGAGGTATGTTTTTTGTTTGTTTATTTTTTTACTAGAGGCCCGGTGCACAATGGGGAGAGGGCAGTCCCTCAGCCCAGTCTGCACACTCTCGCAATCTGGGGTTGTCCAAACTGCTGGTTTAGGCCCAATACCCTCGGGTCTCACCCTTAGCTGATCACCTGCCTGCCTGATCACCCATAAGCACCTCTGCCTCGGCCCCTGCTGTGGTGGTTTCTCCTGGAAGGACGTCCAGAATGACGTCCAGAAGGTCGTTCCACTGTCCGGTCTAATTAGCATATTACACTTTTATTATTATAGATGGGGTTTATTTTTTGAGAGAGGGAGAGATAGAAACAACGAGAGAGAAGCATTGATCTGCTGCCTCCTGCACACCCCAACCAGGGATCAGGCCTGAAAACTGGCATCTGACCTGACAGAGAATTGAACCAGAAACCTCTTAATGCATGGGTCGATGCTCAACTACAAAGGCATACCAGCTGGGAGTGAGCTATGCTTCTTGATAGGAAAGTGGGATGAAAAAAAGACAAAGGAGGGAAAGGTGAGTAGAAATGTAGAGGTTAGAGTAAAATAATTGTGGTAACTAAGAGGTCCAGTTTACCAGGATTCTGAGCTGGGAAGTCTCTTCCTGGGTGTTTGCATTCTATTACTTAACCTGCAACGCTTAGATCAGTGGTCTTCACAACAGAGTGTACATACACCTGAGGGTGTGAAAAGTATCTTCAAGATCCTCAGATAGGAGTAGTGTCAATGAGATGAATGTTCATACCCTCAAACCCCACATGACCTCGTTCTTAAAATGGGTTGAAAAGGCTTATTTCCCATTACATCTCCCTCAGTTGTCTTTCTTTTACTTTAAAAACAAGGGATTGCCCGACCAGCATGTCTCAGTGGTTGAGCATCAACATATGAACCTGGAGTTCACAGTTCAATTCCTGGTCAGGGAACATGCCGGAGTTATGGCTGGACTCCAGTGTGGGCAGCCAATCAATGATTCTCTCTCATCATTAATGTTTCAATGTCTTTCTCCCTCTCCCTTCCTCTCTGAAATCAATAAAAATATGTTTAAAAAACAAAACAAGGAATATCCTTTCCCTCCTCTCCCATTCCTTTTTTTCTCTCTTTCTGTTCTATCCTTTCCCTTTTCTTCCTGAACAGCCCAGGCCTAAACTGTTCAGGTAGGTAGAGAAAAATCAACATCTGTGTTAGCAGTCAGAGCACACAGGGTGTAGAAGGGAAACTGAGGTGACCCACAGCAGAGGATCAAAGCCTAAGCAGTAAAGGGATACCAACCCATGGAGGCAGCCTGATGTGGGGGAGGTGAAAGTCCATGGGGGGAGGAGTTCTCTGATGAATGTCAGAGCCAGAGCACAGTGAAGAATGGGGTGGGACATGCCAGAGCACAAACAAGGTAAGGAGGCATCTATGTGGAGGGAAAGTTTAGCATAGGGCTGGAGAGGGTTGATGAGGACATTTATGTAGGATAAAGAGTAGAAACAGAGGAGGGTTTATGAAAAAAATAAACATATCAAGTATTAAGAGCCAGGTTTCTCACTTGCAGAGAAGAAAGTTATAAATATTGAAGAGTGGGAGATACTGAAATGAAATCACTAGCTCGTGATTTCAGTGTCACCTGAGGAAGTAGCCATGGTGGACCAAGTGAATCTTCCTAAGGAATTTACCAAGAACATCAGACTGATCCAGCAAAGTATGACTGACAGTTGGCAAAGTACTCTAAATCCCTGCTCTTAGATAGTAAGACCCCTAATTAGGGCTGGGTGCTGCTACTTGAGAGTTGCCCGAGAGAACCCCTAACTGCCACATCATCTTCAGGTCCTTCAGACTTTATAGAGCAAGAAGTCTTGTTGCTGATTTCCTTTTTTAAAAACCGTTTCCTTTGTGTTTCACCATAAATACATCATGTGCGGTGTGGAAGAAGCACAAAGGAACTATTAGAGACATTGAATTGGGCATTTTAATTTTGCAGTGAGTTTCTATAAAGAGATTTAGGTAAGATGTGGCTCTGTGAAGACCTCAGTACTAATAGCCTGGAACTCATTGCTAAGATCCTCCCCATCTTTCTCTATCTGTTTTCTCAGCAGCTTCTTAGGCGTCTGCATGTTTCCACAGTGTCTCCTCCCTACCACTGGGGCAGAGCTGGGTCTGTCCTATTAGGGAGGAACGAGGTAAGTTTTTCTTGCCCAAGTGAGATAGTTGCCATAAAATTTCCCTAATCTGTCATTTCCTACACTTGTCACAGATTTGGAAACAGGCCCCACTTAGATGAAGGTACCATGGACCAGTACAGGCACCAGTAGGACTTCCTGCTTCATCCATAAACATATTTTATACCAGTTTTCCCACAAGGTGGGACCATCAGATGGATTTGCAAGATGAGCAGCAAATGGAAAGAGGACCTTCTGTCAAACTCTGTTTGGTGACAGCAACTACACACTGGGCTTGATCAACTACCTAGATTTAGTCTTCAGCCAACTGCACTGAATACTGCCCTTCAGGGAAAGGACCCCATAGAGCAACAGGAAGAGTACAAAATGCAGGTGCAAAAGGAGCCCATATATGGCCCTACCTGGAGTGGATTGGAGGCCAGGGAGGGGTTCCTTGTAGACCTCAAATCAGCAACACCCAAACTCTGTCTCAATTAAATCAAATGATTTTTTTTATCTATATGCAGTACATATGTGCAAACTAGTTACATAGTGATTATCTTAACATTGCATGCACATTCTACAAAGTAAAACTCCTTATTTTTACTCCAAAGTAATAATTTAATTGGATTTTAAATCCATTCCAATTTTTCAAGACACTTCAACATTACATTTGTGAATGAAAAAAAGAGAAAAAGCTGTAAGGTTATTTAAGTACAATTTAAATGAATGGGATTGAAAAAGATTTAAAAATTCATATCACCTACTTATGCAAGTGAACTAGCTCACCAATGGTGACTAGTAAAATGAAATTGAAGCTCTGCCAGTGTTGCTCAGTGGTTAAGCATTGACCTATGAACCAGGAGGTAAAGGTTCAATTCCCAGTCAGGGCACATGCCTGGGTTGTGGTCTTGATCCCTGGGGAGGGGTGGAAGGTTGGGCATGCAAGAGGCAGTCCATGAATGATTCTGTCTCACCATCAATGTTTCTATCTGTCTCTCATTTCTTCTCTGAAATCAAGTTTTTAAAATCTTTAAAAAAAGAAATTGAAGGGATCATAATTATTTGTATTATGGTCCCAGGTCATTTCAAGTATAAAATCAAATCAAAATGCAATACTTATTCAAGCAACTTCAAAAAAAGGTGTATTCCTTCTAAAGATATGTTTAACATAATTTTTTAAATTTCTATTACATCTTCCTTATATAATTGTATAATATAGAGAAAATGTCATTTTCCCCCATGAAGCCCATATAGCCTAATCCTCTTGCAGTTTACTACAGTGTGCCCAACAAAAACATCATGTTCCTGTGTGCCATGACATTAAAAAGGTTGAGAAGTGCTGCCTAGACCATGGAGAGGTAATATACGCTCCATCTCTGCAGTTGCTTCCATGATCCTGAAGACCCTGCACAATTATATACCACATGCCTCTACCAGCTGAGGATCCATTCCCCCACATATAAAATTAATTCAGCTTGGGCACATCCCAAGTGAGGGGCATGGAAGAGGCAGCTGAATTGATGTTTCTCTCTCATCAATATTTCTAACTCTGTATCCCTCTCCCTTCCTCTCTGTAAAAAAATGAATAAAATATATTTAAAAAAAATAAATAAAGTGTATTTCTCCTCTGCCTAGAGGAGAAACATGGCCTTTGGAATGTCTTCCCCTCCATGCTTTGGGCCAACCCTTCCTAGACACTCTCTGAGCAGCACGATCTCTGAGCCCTGGGCAGAAAACTTCACAGACATGGTCACCAAATTTCAAATTGTAGTGTTAACTGCCCTGCGGAGGAGCAGTTAAGCTGTGAGGTGAGGAAGAGAAGCCAGCGAAGGAGGCCGAGTGGGAGCAGACAGAAATGCATAAGGAACAGAGAGACTGGAAGTGTGAGTGCCCTGAGTGGTCCTGAAAATCAAGGGTTCCCAAAATTTGTAGGAAAAGGACCAAGAATTTACTCTGCCCCTCAACATAGTTCCATAGATGAGACGTGCCTAATACCTGCCTAGGAGTGAGATTTCTTCATTCCCTCGTTTCTCTGCCCCTTTACTTAAGTCTCAAAGTTCTCTTTTTATCTCTCTCCTTTTTACAGTGTGTCCCTCCTTTTCCAATGAGTCATGGGCACAACGCCTTGGGATCACCCTGCCTCAGTCACCTAAGGAGGCAGCCAATCTCTACAATTGATAATGGCAGCCTCATCTCACTCTACCTCTGCCTCCAGATGCTCATAATGGGTGCAGGTAGGAATCTTTATATTAGTCCCTGATTCTCTGTAATGTAAGGGAAAGGAAAAAGAAAGAGAGGGGAGCTGGAAGAAAAAGTTTGACAAAAATACAAATGTTATGAGATTCTGGCAAAATGTTAACTTTATCCACTTACTAAGTGCCAGCCAGTGTGTGTAAATCTGAGTATAATTGTGGGGCAAAGACTGAGAGACAAAAAAGGAGCTCCAGATGGTAATTTAAAAAAGCATACATTCTTACAGCCTCAAGATAATGTGGGGAAAAAAAAAACAATTAGCTTGTATGTCTCCATTTCTCATCCCATGCTCATGGCAAACAGTATGAATGATTCTCAAACAATTTACCACTGAGCTGCTTCAGATTCTTTCTCAACACAGTTATCCAACTATCCATCCAGAACCATCAGAACTCCTGTGTGGTTCCTCCGTCCTACCGACAAGGTCAGAACATGACCTGAAGGAGCTAGCCTGTCTATTCTCATCTCCTGCAGTCACATTCCTCAGGTCCCTCCCCACAGGGTGAGTTAAGTGAGGAGACTCGGGCCCAAATTTTAAATTGGTACTTACTCTCAGGATCTTGCCAACTGTGTACCTGAAAGTGAGTGTGTCCTCAAAATTTGTGCCCTATGTACTTTGCTTGTATCAACTTATCCAGGGCTAGACCTCCAACACCTAAGATCTCCAGCTTTCTCAAGTTCTGTGTGAATGTTTAGGTCAGAAAAGATCCAGCAACTATTTCAGACATTGTTCTCAGAACTTGGTTAGGATGGAAACAACCAATAATGTAGTCAATATCCCCGCATTTGCCTAAATCTGCCCCCCACAACCCTGACTCCATCTCTGTTCTCTTTTCAGGAGCATTCCAAGTCCAGGGGCTCCAAGAACCCGTGGTGGCCACGCTGGGCAGTGAAACTGAGCTGCCCTGCTTCCTCTTGCCTCCTCAAAATGTTAAAAATATGAAAATAAGCTGGACCAGATCCCTACCCTCCCAGGTGGTGCACCTGTATGAGGATGGTAGTGACAAGCCTAAGGAAGCTATGGAGGAGTATTTAGGGAGGACAGAGCTTGTGAAAAATTTAATGGATAAGGGGATAGTGCTCCTGAGAATCCTCAGTGTCCAACCCTCTGACAGTGGGCAGTATCGCTGTGCATTCCAACATGGCTCCTTCTACAGTGGTGCAGTGATTGAGCTGAAAGTGGCAGGTAATGTCCCACATTTATCCCCCTGACAGACCCAGCGGTGAATTTTTTCTGGGATAGATGTTGGACCAGTTTTCCTCGGAAATATAAAAAAAGTCATAGGAGAAAGGGAGATGGCCACTACATCTACTCACCCCATTATTCCATATATCACTGCTGGGGGTTAAATTAAAAAAAAAAAACAGAGACTCATAGTGGGAGTCCAGAAATAGGCAGGGGCCATTTGTGTTGCATTGTGATGGACTCCCCTCTCACCCAGGAGTCTATAGACTTCTTCAGAGCCTCACTTTCCTGTTCTGCACATTGAGGTCTAGTCAGCAGCACAAACTCTTCATAAGCAGGGATGGGATATATGTACAGAAAAATGAGCTTAGGACCTGACTTCTCTCTCTTCCTCTTCCCAGCTCTTGGCTCACATCCTCAGTTCCATGTGGAAGTTATTGAGTCCAGACAAACACAAGTGGTGTGTAAGTCAGAGGGCTGGTTCCCTCAGCCAAAGGTCCAGTGGATGGACTCTGAGGGAGGAAAAATACCAGCTGAGTCTGAGACTCACACCCAGGGTGAAGGTGGCTTGTTCCATGTAACAACATCACTGTTACTCAGAGAAGCTTCTCGGAAGAATCTGACATGTTCTATCTGGAACCCAGTTCTGAATCAGAAAAAGGAAGAAATTGTCCATAGCAGGTCAGTTTTCTCTCTGCCCTCACTGTGCCCCCACAAAGTGGGTTTGATGTTCACACTCCATGGCGATGGTAGCTCTAAGCATATAAGCTTGTTTCTGCTATTTTCATCACACCCACACCATTCTCCTTGCCAGGAGCCAACTTCCCTTCTATTTTTCTATCTTTTCTGACCAAAGTTTCCAGTCCATGAACAGGACCTTCCTCTTCAGTCCATTCAGGCTGGTATAACAAAATACCACAGATTGTATGGCTTGTAAATGACAAAAGTTTATTTCTCACTGTTCTGGAGGCTTGAGGTTCAAGATCAGGGTATCAGCATAGTCAGGTTCTAGTAAAAGCCCTCTTCCAGTTTGTGACAGCTAACCCATCTGTGTGTCTTCACATGGTAGAAACCATAGGGAGCTCAAGGTGTAGGGGCGGAACTTTTTATAAGGACACTAATCTAATTTATGAGCTTAAGACCTTACATTGGGAGATCTGAAGATGGCGGCGATATAGGCAG